GTGGTCCATCCAGACAATGGAATATTATTCACTGCTAAAAAGCAAATGAGCTACCAAACCATGAAAAGACATGGAAGAACTTAAATGCATATTCCTAACTGAAAGAAGCCAAACCAAAAGCCTACTATGTAATTCCAACTGCATGACATTCCAGAAAAGGAAAAACTATAGAGACAGTCAAATGATCAGGGAGTGACAGGGGGTTAGGAGAGAGGGACAGATGAACAGGCAAAACAGAGAGGATTTTTATGAAAATGCAACCATTCTGTATGATATATCCATTTTTCAGAACCCAGAGAATGTACAACACCAAAAGTGAACACCAATGTCAACCATAGACTTGGGTGATAATGATGTGTTAATGCAGGTTCATTGATTGTAACAAACACATTGATAGTGAAGGGAAGTTTTGTGTGCACAGGGAGCAGGAGGTATCTAGGAACTCTGGACTTTCTGCTCAATTTTACTACAAACCTGAAACTGCTCTAAAAAATAAAATCTATTTAAGAAAAGAAAGGGAAGGGGAGCCCGGGTGGCTCAGTCGTTAAGCGTCTGCCTTGGGCTCAGATCAGGATCCCAGGGTCCTGGGATCGAGCCCCACAACGGGCTCCCTGCTCAACGGGAAGCCTGCTTCTCCCTCACTCCCCCTGCTTGTGTTCCCTCTCTCGCTGTGTCTCTCTCTGTCAAATAAATAAATAAAATCTTAAAAAAAAAAAAAGGGGAAAAAAAGGTGTTTATTTAGCAGTATGTAAGAAAGCATCCATTTAACATACTCATTAAGCCTATATACACAACTGAAAAATAGTTATTAGTATTTTGTACTGGGCATCCTGAGGAGGGGATATAAACAAGAGGACAGGTTCCTTCCCACAGGGAGATAGATTGATTGATTGATTGATTGATTGAAGATTTTATTTATTTGACAGACACAGCGAGAGAGGGAACACAAGCAGAGGGAGTGAGAGAGGGAGAAGCAGGCTTCCCACTGAGCAGGGAGCCCGATGTGGGGCTCGATCTCAGGACCCTGGGAGCATGACCTGAGCTGAAGGCAGACGCTTAACGACTGAGCCACCCAGGCGCCCCGCCACAGGGAGTTTTAAATATAGTTAAATGGACGTCGTATATTTGCAAAAAGCTAAATAAAATGGAATTTAAATAGTTCAAGACAGAAAACATACTGCAAACAGTAAGTTGCCAAATTACTGAAATAGACATTAAGAGGACAATATGTGAATAGGGGTTCAGTGGATCACTTCAGACTAAAAGAACCAGGAAGTTAAGATCTGCTCTAGGTCCTGAAAAATGTCTAAGATATGTCTGGAGGGAATTGGTGCATTCCAAGAAAGAGCAAAACCACCGAGTTAGGAAAGGAAATCAAATGAACCAGTTCACAAAACTAAATAGGGAGAGAAGACTAGAGAGATTGGTAGAGGCCAAATCATGGAAGTCAAAGAATGCCAGGCCAAGGAACCAGCCTAGAGACTCCGAATTCTTAACTCTTAAATGCTAAAAGGGAGCAAATACTTGCCTAACCTCTGTTATACTGATAGCTCTTAATCTAATGAGTGTATTTAAAAACATTTTATGTCAGATACAGATATATACTAGTAGACATGGTCAAAAATTCACCACCTTTGCTACCCAATTGAATATATATACACACAAGTCCTGCTCCCAACCTTCAATTTCCAATCTACTCTAATAAGCTACCCATAACCCTACAACCTGAACCCATTCAGAAGACACACAACTCTATCACCCAATAAAACTCTATATGGGTACACCACTCTTTTTCCCTTCACCCAAAGATGTCTCTCCTCTGGGGTATAAAACAAAGTGGCTCCTTGCCCCTTTAACTGGAAAGAGGGGTCATCTTAGGACCATGGTCACTATTGGCACCTCCTCCTCATTCTATTTATAGGACTGTCACCCTCTATTAATCATTAAAAGCAAACCTCCTAAATAAATATGTAAAATACATACATATTCCAGGCAAGACAAAAAATGCAGCATTCCCTCCCCAATCACCTGATAGATGACATACTTAAGACTCTATACAACCTTTGGTAAATATTATCAATAACTGCAATTCTCATAATTGAAAACATTTCAGATTTTGTCCATTGTGACTTTCAACCTTTTTTGTAATCCTTTTGTTTTCCATAAACTATTCCACGTATTTTAAATCACATACTCAAACTTCAATGTGTGGGCATCTGCAACTGTATTCAATCCCACACTTTTCTAATTAACAAATTCCCCAACATATCCCAGCTAAGTTATCCGAAATCAATGACGTTCTATGCATGTACCTTTAATCTTGTGTTAAAATCCTAAAACCCTCCCCTTTAGGAATCTACCACCAGAGTGACTATTTTCTCACCTTTCATGACACATTAATACATGTCCAATTTCCTCAACCATTTATAACAAACTCTAACACACATTATTTTTCTCAAACATAAGCTCCAAGCATAAAAACACCCCATTAGACTCTCTTCTATCAAAAACATTTTAAAACTTCCATTAATATGGCTTTTTATAAAAAATTCAAATACATATACTATGATACCAATTGGTCAAAGTTCAAAAACATGAAAGAGTATTAGATATTGTTTAAAGATACAGGCATATACTGAAAAACATAAAAACGTGTGACAACAATAAAACCAAATTAAGGAGAATGCTCATGGGGGAGGGAGGATTGAAGGAATACAATCCAAGAGACAGAAAAGAGGCTTCAACTTTCTAATGTTTTATTTCATAAACAGAGTCAGGGATACATGGTTGTTCATCTTATTCTTTATACCTTTCTGTTTTTGAAATATTTTAAGTGAGTTCAAGAAGAAAGATACCCAATTACTAATTAGAATCTCCTTCTCATATGTAATGACAAGTTGTTATTACGTCCAAATTGCAGTTACTACTCATTGTTACATCCGGGACACCCCTCCTGTCCTTTACCTAAGCCAAGAAACGAAAAATTACAGGCCTACAATCCAAAACTTTCCCTTAGATATATCTTAGATATGATCCAGGTTTATATTCTGTAGCTATATACAATCCATTTCTTTCACAACTCTCACATCGACAAAAGTTAAACCTCTTATTTTATCCTTCTATCCCTACATGGCTATTAACTCTTACGTGCCTTATTACACAGTAAACTGGAATAACGACCTTTCCTTATTTGTGTATGTTAAAATATAAGCGAATTGTTAAGCCACATAACTAATTCACTTGTCTGAATGCAGTCATATATACCTCTATGCACGAGTCTAACTCACTCATATACTAACTTTTCAATCTCAAGTTATAATTTCTAAATTAAACCACACATCATTTAACCGCAAATGAAAGGCACTAACTTTTCAATCTCAACTTATAACTTCTAAATTAAACCACACATCATTTAACCGCAAATGAAAGGTCATCTCAGCCAAACACAACTTAGCCAGGGCAATTCCGAAACACTCCACTCCAGCATACAGGGAGTTCACCTAATGCATAAAGTCCCGTTCCTGGAACAAGGTTTACACCACCCAGAAGTGCTCTCCTCCACTGGCGACACTCAGACACACCTCCGAATCCTAACTTTCGGCTCGCTATGGTAAAACAAGGAGAGAGGGCATGAAGTTGCATCTCATCACGAACCCCACGGGCTCTGTATTTCACACACCAAAGGGCCTGAGTTTCTCATCACTAGGAGGTAGAAGTTGGAAGCCCCGATCTAGGGGACAAGGTCTGGTCTTCCATGGCGTCCGCCAGAGTCCTAAAGTCGTCGACTAACAGTTCAGGCAGCCGACCCGCCTACTTCCCTCCCCACCCCCACTCCAGGCGCACCCCACCCCCACCCCCGGCGCGAAGCCCACTGTACATCCCTGCACCTGCGGGTCCTACGAACAGCCGAGTATCCGCTTCTCTCCACCAGAGGGAATGGCTTAGATGCCGGCTCCGACGCTCGCCTCCGGCCACCAGGCTCTCACGTCGGACCAACCGGGCGACTCGTTCGCTCTCTGATCAGCAGCGACACCTTCTCCAGAACCGACCCGGGGGCCTGGCCTTCTCAGGTGCCAAGCTCCGAGGCCTCCTCACCTCTCCCAGAGGACCAACCTACACCGGACGCTCAAGGCCCGAAAGGCAACTCCCACCACTCCCCGACTCGCCAGTCTTTTTTCTTCCCAGCTGCAGCCTCTGAAAAAGCCAAGCCCCACAGTCCGCCTCCGCCAGCTTCCGGGCCTCGGTTCACAGGCAGGCCTGAACCCCCAGCCTTGCCCTCCACCACCCCATTCCCGTCACGCCGCTTCCCCCCCCCCGCCGGAGGCCGAGCACCGGGGCTGGGCGGCTTCCTTCCCCGGCATCCCGCGGGCCCGGCTCCTCCCGCGGCGGGCCCGGTCCCCGCCCGGCGTGCCGCACACTCACCGCTGAGCGCTGAGGCCTGCAGGGTGGCCCCCGAGGTGCCGTCGATGACTTTGATGGTCCCGCGACTAGTGACGGCCAGGATGGCGTTGAGCGCCGGGTGGTAGGAAAGGCTGTGCAGCCCATCGGCGTCGCAGCGCATGCAGCCGTCTCGCAGCACCAGCCACTCCGAGACCCCGGCCGCTCCCGCCCCCGCCGCCGAGGAGCAGCCCGGGCCCGAGGCCGCCGCAGCCGCAGCCGCCATCTTCCGGCCTGCGCTCAGCACAATCACACTGGGAAGCGGCTCAGTGACAGTCCCGGGAGGTGCAGCACCACCGCCAGTCACCATCCGGGGCCAGGGGGCAAGTGGAGCGCGTTAGCCGGAAGTGAAGTCAGGCGCCGGCACGCACGCGGGACGTCGGCCGCGCGCCCGGAGGGGCCAAGCTCGGAGGGAGGTTGGCGGGGGAGGGGGAGTGGGAGCGAAAGAGGCGGGACCCGGGGAGGGGGCGGGCAGCGGGCGACTGGAGCATGCGCGGGAGGGCTCGCGCGTGCCACGCGCCTCTGGTCCAGCCAGCTCCGCGTTCGCAATGTCCCAGGTTTGGGTTTTTTTTACCCCGAGCCTGGGGCGTGGCCACTGCCTGGGCCCCGCCCCGCTCCCTTGCCTCCGGCGGTGGGCGGTGGGGGTTGGGCTCCGTGTGCTTCCGCTAGGCGGGGACCCCGGCCGGTGGGACATGTCTGAGATGCGCTGAAGCCTTTTGCCGCGGTTCCAGCTGCACCTGGACGGTTACCTGCAGGCGCTGTTGTAGCTGTTCGGTTGTGGCTGGAAGAAGACCCCAGGGCTTGGCTCTAGTCTACAAGTAAGCAGTCTGAAAAACCTCTGGTCTGGATTGGGAGAAACCAAACGACCTCAGTACCCCGTGCCTATTGCACGCCGCCATTCCCAGATCTTTTTGTTGGACAGAAGTGCCAGATTGGAGGTGCTGGAAGTATATTATTTAGCTGAATGTCTTTATCCACACCCCAAACAACTCCAGTTAATGTGAATTGTTAATAGATGCGTGGGGGTGTTGGGCCAGAAAGAACTGTAGCCAAGTAAATTTACTATGATCATATTTTTATTTTATTATAATTATTAGGGGCGCCTGGGTGGCTCAGTCCGTTAAGCATCTGCCTTCTGCCCAGGTCATGATCCCAGGGTCCTGGGATGGAGCCCCACATGAGTCTCCTTGTTCAGTTGGGAGCTTCGCCCTCTCCCTCTGCCTGCCGCTCCCCCTGCTTGTGCTCTGTCAAATGAATAAATAAAATCTTCAAAAAAAAAAAAATTATTAGATTCACACTTGCAAACATAATACAAACCTCTGTGGTTTGCCTCCCCAAAAACCATAATCCCTATCTAACTCTCAAAAAAACGGGTTGGGACCCCTGGGTGGCTCAGCCAGTTAAGCGTCTGCCTTTGGCTCAGGTCACGATCCCGAGGTCCTGGGATCAGGCCGGGCATCGCTGGGCTCCCTGCTCAGCGGGGAGCCTGCTTCTCCCTCTGCCTGCCGTTCCCCGTGCTTGTGCTCTCTCTGTGTCAAATAAATAAGTAAAATCTTAAAATAAAACAAAAACAAAAGACTGGACAAACTCATATTTAGGGACTTCTATAAAATACCTGACCAGTATTCCTCAAAGTTGGAACAGAGAGGTCCAATTTACCCAGTTTCCCCAACAGTTATATGTTACATAAGTTTAATACAATATCAAAAGCAGAGATTTGACATTTAAATGTTGTGTGTATAATTCTCTGTCATTTTATCATGTGTAGATTGCTGTACCACAATCAGGATACAGAACTGTATGTTCTTGGGATCATTCTTTATCTTGGAAAGCCTAAATTCTTCTTCCTTAAAACCTAAAGTGCTGTTGAGAAGATTAAGAGTCATGTAAAATGTGTAGAACAGCATCTCACATACAGTAGGTGCTCAATAAAAGTTATGAAAAGTTAATTGTCTTCCCACATTCCTGCATACTTCTTTCAGGAATCTTCAGAGATTATCCCAACTACATCTTAAACCTGTTTATTTGTATGCAAAGGTGTATTTATATAATCTATCCATTCCATTTTGGAATGGCAAATATGCCATTTTTATCTGATGTTGGGCGGCAACATATAATAAAGTGGAAAAATACCCAAGTATTAAAGTCTAAATGAATATCTGATTTTGAGTCACTGCGGTTTCATTTTTCAGTTCTACCTATGAACCTGGATAAGTCACTTAAACCTTCTGAGAATGTTCCACCAAGTATCAATTGGAAATCTTAAAATTATTTGCCCTACTTAGGTTTGTAATAAGACTTGTAAATTGTAAAACTTACCAAAGTACTTGTAAACTGTAAAAATGAAAACACAGAGGTGAAGTCTTATCCAGAGTCTCCCAGCTTAGGAGGAGGGGTTAACAGCAAGCTAGAGTTTGAGCTCAGGCAGCTTGACTCCAGAACCCAGACTCCTAACTTAACCTCCTGTTCAAAACTTGAGTGCCTTGAGGTAAATAAAGTATGCAAATAAATTTAAATGTAATTGGGGGTGTCATTCTAAAGGTGTTTTACATCTCAGGACACAAGCAGAAACTAAAAACTGCCATTTCAAAGTTGTTTTCTGTCAAGACTCATTTGAGGGGCACCTGGTGTCTCAGTCATTAAGCTAGTCTGCCATCTTAAAAAAAAAAAAAAAAAAGACTCATTTGAGCCAAATTTTTTCATTAATCTGAAAGGGTACCTGAATAGGCCTTGAATGCAAATTGAGCCCCCCCCTTATTGATAGGGAAAACAAACTAATAACCTGAACACTAAAGTTAGTGTACTTCCATGTTATACTATATTGAAAAGAGGGAGAAGCAGGCTTCCCGCGGAGCAGGGAGCCCGATACGGGGCTCGATGCGGGGCTCGATGCGGGGCTCGATCCCAGGACCCTGGGATCATGACCTGAGCCGAAGGCAGACGCTTAACGACTGAGCCACCCAGGCGCCCCCTCTTGGAAGATTTATAATACACATTAGGCTACCAAAAGCTCTGAGACCTATGATAAAGAATCCTGTTTAACCTTCTTTAACCAACATTCCACAAACTCCTATGACTATAGATTCCTGCAAAACAAGTGTTTCAAAGAGTACTCTAGTGTAACTTGTTGCTTGTTTTTGTGAATATGTATTTTTGTTTGAGCACTTATTGAGACCTCAAAAACTGCAGTTAAGTGTTTCAGGACCCAGGTTAAGATTCCTTAAATTGAAGTTATCATAAAAATGAAATTGGACAAGACTTGGTGATGTTCAATATCAACTGTGTTGATTTCTTTCTGCATGTGGAATTGAGAATGAATACTTCTAACTTTGAAAATACACTGATTTTCATGACTAGTCTATTTTGAAGCTTTTGAGGGTCTCCAGCCAAACCATTTTGGTCATAGGTGGTGATTGCCTAAAGAAAGTAGAAATTCCCAATAACAATCATTTTGAAAGAGGAATTTGTTGGAATCAGAAATGTGGACCCAGAAAGGGGGCCTGACATGGAAAAAGCATTTGACAAAACCCCACATCTATTTGAAGAAAAAAACAAAACTCTCAGCCAACTAAAAATAAAGGGAAATTTCCTCAACCTTGTAAAACATATCTACCAAAACAAAACAAAACCCAAAACCTACAGCTAACAGCATACTTAACAGTAAAAGACTGAATGATTTCCCTCTAAAATCAGGGACAAGCCAAGGACATCTACTCTGACTACTCCTTTTCAACGCAGTACTAGAAGTTCTGGAACTTAACGGAAGTCACTGCAACAAGGCAAGAAAAAGAAATAAGCATAGAGAGAGAGCAGTTTCTCAGATGCACCCCTGTTTCCCTTATGCAGCCATTGGTAGTGGGGGCCAGTCTTAAGGAAGAAGAGTAGAAGCTAAGGCCTCAAAGGGGACAACTGGCCCACAGCTGCAGGTGGTGACTGGCTGAGCAGAAGCCTGTGTCTGCAGCTCCATAGGAGCAGAGAGAGAGGCAAAACTGATTCTAGAGCTTACAGAATAAACACTCTAAAGATTCCCTGGTAAATACTAGGGGGACTCTGAATGGGTGGCTGAGGTCATGCCATGGGAGCTAGAATTTAGGCACATTTATAACACACTCTAGTAAAACTCACCACACACTCACACACAGACACACACAATTGAGCCATATACAAATGTTGCATTAAAAAATGCCTGGGGCACCTGCGTGGCTCAGTCAGTTGAGCGTCTGCCTTCGGCCCAGGTCGTGATCCCAGGGTCCTGGGATTGAGCCCCACGTCGGCTCCATGCTCAGCTTGAAGCCTGCTTCTCCCTCTCCCTCTGCCTCCTCCCCCTGCTTGTGTTCTCTCTCTCTGTCAAATAAATGAATAAAATCTTCCCAAAAAAATGCCTAATGTAATAAAGGAATCTAAATTTAGAGGAAAAAGCAGTTTGATGACAATAAAGGAATCTCTAAACTAAAAAAAAAAAAAAAAAATTAGAAATTATCACCCTAATGCCCAGAAGTTTACATGCAGATTTGGTTTATCCCAATGCAGGAAATGATGAAGTTCTAATGATTTGTAATGGAAAGGCTGATCTATAAATTACTTCTATCTGGCCTGATATTAACAGCTAGTATGTGTATCATTAAAATTCAGTCTTGGGAGGGGTGCCTGGGTGGCTCAGTCAGTTGGTTAAGCATCTGCCTTCTGCTCAGGTCATGATCCCAGGCTCAGCAGGGAGTCTGCTTCTCCTTTTTCCTCCACCCTTCCCTCCAGCTCGTGCTCTCTCTCTCTCTCTCAAATAAATGAATAAAATCTTTAAAAAAAAAAAAGGAAAGCATAGTGCCTTTTTGGTGTGAGCAGCCATTGTTTATGGAGAAAAGCTCAATATGGCATTAATTGAAAGGATACCTGATCTGCTTACCTTTGACACTTGTAGGCAATCATACAAAAATTCACCAGGCTGTTCGGGGGTAAGGATAGACACCTTGGAAGCTATAGATATGAAAAGGGTAAGCATAGGATTGCAGTCTGAGATCAAAGAAGTCACAGACTAAAATAAATAAATAAATAAACCAGTGGGAATGAATTGGAAGTCCATTAAAGTGCCTAGAAAATTCATTTGCTCTCCTTCTTGCTTCTGAAAGCACACTATCTGAGTTACCCTTCTAATCATAACTTTGCAAACATTTATTAAGAGTTTATTATGGCCCAGTCACTGAGTTAGGTGTTTATTAAGCACATACTACAGACAAGGCATGTGATAAGAGTAAAGATGACAGAAACAACAGAACAAAGAGACAGTCATAATCTCTGCTCCTGGGGATTTGCCATCAAGTGAGCAGACAGACATTAACCAAATCATCATCATACTAAACACATGATTGCCAATGTGCTAAGTGTATGAAGGAGAAACCCTAGCACTATGAGAAAGTAACAGGCCTGGAGAGTCAAGCCAGGCTTTTCCATGGAAGTAAAAAGTCCAGCTAACACCTGAAACCTGGAAAGGAAATGCCAGTATTTAGGAGTATCTTGGAAAAGAGAATATTCTGGGTAGAGACTATTCTGTATGAAGGTGGTGGGGCATTTGGCTTATTCCAGCAAGTGCCCCTGGAGTTCGGAAGGCAATGGGAATGAGGTTCAAGAGCAAGGCAGGGGCCAGTCTTTGTAGGGACGGGTAGGTGTAGGCCACACTAAGAATTTTGGACTTTATATTAAGTGCAAAGGAAAACCTTTAGCAATGGAATGATATGATCTGATTTGCCTGTAAAAAGACCACTCTGGCTGTTGTATGAGGAGAAAATTTAAAAGCCACAATCAGGGCCCCGACTAGGGAGAAACA